CACACGTAGACGTATGGCATACGAGATATGTAAGAGTTATTCAATTGTCTTTTTTAATCAAGGTAATTATTATTCTGTTTCAATTCAAGAGTTATTCAATTGTCTTTTTTTTAATTATATATATTGTATTATGGTTATGGAATTATTTTAATCTGTTCTATTTTCACAAAATTAAACTACCCTAAGATATTCAAAATTAAAACGACCAGATATTTCTTGAGCCTTGACCACGCGCGGTGTATATGCGCGTTTGAGAGTCAATGGAATGGAATCTTTGATTGGTTAAATTATAATATTTCTAATTCTTTTATTGAAGAAAATCGCTCTGATGTAGTTCGGGGTCAACTACAGTCTAGAAGGTGGTTGTACTTGTGCGATAGTATAACAACTAGTGAGAATTCCGTGCGATCCATGAGGATTTCGTAACAAATTTTTTTTCCAAACCTTTATTTTAACAATGTATCAAATTGATCCTTTTATATTAATATAAATAATATTTTCACATATATATTTTATTTTTTAATACAAAAAATAGAATTTTACATATTTTGGTTCATGATAATATTCAAGTATTATTTTATTTACAAATTTATTGATCACACACGAAAAGAAAATAAGTCCTAAATATTCTAATCTTGATTGATTTAGAGAATTAACTAAAACAAGCTAGAACTAGAAAAATAATTTAAAGAAATAACAATTAAATCTCTAGTGAAAAAGTAGAAGTTCTAGGGGTCGGGAAATCTCATCAAGTCTAAAACTATGTTGAACGATTATTTGTTCAGTTACGAGATTCAACAATCTTACACGTCTAGAGGGTTATGCTCAATAACTCTTCGTAACAAGAGCACATTTGTGCATTTTGATTGATAATATTACCTATCGTTTTGGGAAAAAAAAAAAATGAAGACTTTGCGATAGTTTAAAAATTCAAGAAATTCATATTTTACAATTAAGATGCATGTGTTGTAATTTATTTATTTATTTTTTGTTTTTTGTTACTGAAAGTATACAACGACGAAATTTTTCGTCACATTATTTATCACCGTAACCACGTTAGAAAATATACATATGACATTACCTAATTTGTCATTAATAATTTAAAAATTAACTTTAACTGACGTAAATCTCGTCACTTTATAATAATAATTCTATTATTGGAATTCTTAAATTATCGCAAGAAGTTCGTATTTTGATGATGAAATAATATTGTCCTATAAATACTAACTTATAGTGACAAATTTACTAGTTTTACAATCGAGATTTTGTAACTTAAATATCTAAATTGTCACAAAAAAAATATATTTTAGATGATGAATTTATATTTTGTTATTTAAACATGACGAATTTTTAAAGAACTAAAAAAAAGGCTATACTGAATTATTATTTTATCTGAGTAATTTTATTTAATACGATCCTTGATGCAGAGTAATATATATTATTTTTAGTATTAAAATATTTGGTAGTTTAATTAATATCTATTATTAATATTAACATTTAATATTTATTTATATTTAGTGGGTTGGTGGTACAAGATAGGTTTTAGTGTTTGGGTATCTTATTTAAAGACCCCTCTTCGTTGTTATTCAGGAGTGAATTTCAGAATCAGATATTGTGAGTTTTGTGTATTTTACGAAAGAGTATTTCGTTTAGCCTTCTCATTCGCACACTTCTCTACATCATCTGGTATCAGAAGTCAGCACGATTCACAATGATGTTGCAAAGTCAAGATGCTGCAAACGACAGGCGTATCGCCGCCATCTACAATCTCGAGCTTTAACTAAATTAATTATAGAAAATTAAATAAAAATCTCTTTTCGATTCTTAACGAATCGTTTAATCAAGCGAGCTTTAAGTGAGCTCGAGCTCGGCTCGTTTATCAAACGAGACGAGCCGAGCAAAGAATTCTTTTTTATTTTAATAGTACCAATCGTGACCAATTAATTGCTTAACAAAATACTACATTACTATTATAAAAATTATTTACGCAGTTTGGGGCTCTTTATGCCATTAAAACTTTTAAGTTTTTTTTTTTTAATAAAATTGCATTAAAATATAATGTTCCCTTTATATATAATTACCGAATGTGTTGAGCTTGAGTGGATGGCAAGCACACTTCGATATCTTATGACGCAATTTCATGTTTTATTATTTGGTTTGGATATATTTTAATTAATCCCAATCCAAAGAAAATTAGTTCGAATTATCCATAAATATATTGATTACTTATGAACATTTTAGATAAATTAATTGCATTATAATATCATTTTCTATTATAACCATTGAAATGTAAAAATATTTTAAAAGTTAATAACTTTTGTAGTTTTTATCAGTTTTAGATATATAATACATCAAACTAACCGTCGTTTGATAAACTTCGATTTCACATCCATATTGTTTGTATAAAATATATTAATTATAATAAGCATAAAATAATTTATTAATATGAACTAGAAAATAAAAATACTTATTGATTTATTTATTTCTATATGATACTTTTGTTGATTGTCTGAGCGAGAATTACTTGAATACTCGATTAATTGATTCACGAGTGACGATTACTTGATTGCATGTTTCCGAACTTAGTGGGTGTCTTCTTTCCATCTCGGGTCTTAGAGTAACTTGTTTCTTTTCTCTCTATTTTCCTTTTTATTGCAATTTGAGGTCTTGGTTGCTATAAAGTCCGAGTCTTGCTTGTTAAAGCTTTTATCTTGCTTTCGTTTTAGTTTAAAATTGTACTCTTTAACTTCATTCAAACCCCAAATTGCGAGTAGAGTGTTTAGAGATTTTTATTTTTTTTTCTGTGTATTAGTCAATCGCTTCTTGAATCCGTGTCCGAACAACCTTCCTCTAGAGACACGAATGTTTATAGTATTTTGTGGGGTAGATGGTAACCGAGCTACCCAACCTCGAGTCGTTCTCAAAGGAAGGCTATTCGGAGCTTAATTTGTCTACTCCTCAATTGTCCAAACACACAAAAAAAGAAAAATAAAGACCTAAACATTCTAATAAATGAGTTCGGGATTGAATTAACACTAAGCAAGCGGATAATGATGAGTAATTGTAATCAACAAGAAAAAACGAGCGAATATCGAAATTAAACTAACGGAGTATCTATGTCATCAACACAAAACGAAAAACAAATAACGAAGAGAAATATGCAAGCATTAAGCACTAAGAAATTAACCCTAACCTTCTAATCCTAAGTGATTAAGCTCTAAATAGAGTCTCAACCCTTAATCTTGATAGGCAAGCAATTAATCCCTAAAATCACTCTTGCAAGCAATAAAAACGATCAAGTCAAAACATTCCATCCATCATCCAACAATACCCATATTCACCTTGATATGCATCATAAGTAAAAACAAGGCAA